GGCCACACCAAGGTCCAAAAACAAAAAAAAGGAATTGTTTCAGATGGGACCCACCAAGCCTAGACAAACTCATGCATGTTCAAAAAGGAATTAACAACATAGGGGAGGGAGGGAGGAAGGAGCTAATTATTATCAAGAGCTGATCTACCCATAGTCGCACAGTTATGGATTCTAGCCAATCCCCACACTCTTCTTCTCACCTCATTCTTTGGGATTGGGCCAATCTAGTCCTTGGTCTCATGTGGGTCCCACTCCAAACCATTGGTTTTGACTTTTCCTAAGATGTTGATTTTGACGTTAATATCGTCGATCTCTCGCGTTCAATAATTGGGTGGAAGGTTGAGTGGCCCCTCCACCCAGATATAATGTGATGACTTTGGAAAATTACACGAGAGAAGCAAGATAAAAACTTGCTCTGAAAGTTGCGATGCTCTTGAGGTTGAGTGATCAACGAGGAAGTGGATGGAAAAGACTCTGGTGGGTCCTACAAAGCTTAGTAGGGCCGGCGTGTGGGGTCCATCATTTGGTATTTTATTCGACAATGAAGGTGATTAATTAATTTTAAGTATGGCCGTCGCTGTAAGTAAGGGCCAGGCCACGGCGTGGCCGAGGGGATATCGAAGATTTGACGGCAAGCCTTCGTTGACTGCCCGATGGAACCTATTTTACAGAACTTTCTCTAGACCTATGCCAGGTCACAGTCTATAAGTGAAAGACCCAGATGCGGGAAGAGAGAGAGAGACGCACGATTTGGAGAGAGGTTCTTCTGTATGTGAAAAGTGAGTGAGTGAGAGAGAGAGAGATCTAGAGACGTAGGGACCGAAAGAGACGAGGGCGGAGATATCTAGAGAGAGAGAGAGAGGATGGCCAAGATCCCCGGCGTCAGTGCAGCAGTGCTGTGCAACTTCTGGTCGTTGTCGGGTTTCGAAAAGTGTGGAACAGATCGTAGCAGAGGCCGCACGTAATGGGTCCAAATCCTTTTGCCCTATTAACTTCTTATTATATTCACCAACCATCATGAATGACTTGCCAACTGGGCTTGGGCTGCAGAGGGAGAGCAAGAGATCGTTGCATGGCCAGTTTGGTCCCCGGTCTCTCTTCTCTCTCTCCTCTCTCTCTGCCTCTCCCATCTCTCTCTCTCCTTCTCTCCCTCTCGCCATCTAATAGGTGAATATCAAGATTGGGTCCGCTTTAATAAAGCCTACGAGGGTTCACGAAACTCTTGCGCGCAGCCTATTTTCTAGGGTTTGAGATGGATAGACAGAGAGACATTTCTCTCTACTCTCTCTCTCTCTATTCATCTCTATCTAACTTGAATTATATGCTTTAGAGAGTTTATTTCTGAGCTTTTCTCGAGTCTAGATTCAGCCCCGGGCCTGGAAAGTACCGCTCTCGAAGGGCTGGTGTGTCTCAGCTGCTTGGTGGGCCACTATGGGGTTCGGAGGGCGGCGGGACCGCTGGTGGGGCAACGTGTCTGCTGTGCGGTTTTCGGTTCGCCATTCCATTTATTGTTTATGAATTCAGAGCCGCCTAAGTCTGCTGGCCGCCCACCATCCTCCTCTCTCATCGAGAATTCACAATGCGTAGGTGCTCGAAGCCGCGGCAGTCAACTTCAACCCTCCATGTTGCAGACGCAGCAGGTGTTGGAGGAGAGGGAGAGGGAGAGGTTTTGTGGGGTACTCGCTGCTTTCCTACACCGGGGCTCAGAGGGGAGCTCCTTCCCCCGTTTTGTATTATCAGAAGCTAGCCCGGAGAAAACCAGAGAAGTGGGCTTTTTAGTGAGAGAGAGAGAGAGAGAGAGAGAGAGAGGTAGGGGAGAGGTTGATAGGGTGGTTCTTTCGTTTCCCCGCCATTACTGTTCAGGGTTTCATCGGGAGTTTCTCTCGAGGATGATGTCGTTCTCGTTTGATCAGAGCCTTTCTCCTCTGGGCTTCCGGTTCCTTCTCTTTTGGGCTCACTGTTTTTTCCTCTGACTTCTCCTCTTCTGAGTGTCTGGGGACCTTACGCTGAGAGAGAGAGAGAGAGAGAGAGAGAGAGAGAGAGAGAGAGGGAGGGAGAGAGCCCTGAAGAATGGCCGGTAGAGCAGGAGCAGCATCAGCGCACAAGGCGGACGAGTTGGTTCCCCACCCCGTGAAGGATCAGTTCCCGAACGTCTCCTACTGCATAACCAGCCCGCCCCCATGGCGTGAGTCGCGTCTTCGTCTCCTTCTGACCGACCCTCCATCTCTCTCTCTCTCCTCCTCACCTTTTTCTCTCTCCTCTTTTAGTCAGATATCCAGATCCAACATATTTCATCGGGCTTAAGAATTATAACGAACTCCTTATTTTCAACGCAGCGGAAACGATTCTTCTCGGCTTCCAGCACTACCTGGTCATGCTGGGCACCACTGTCATCATCCCCTCTGCCCTCGTTCCTCAGATGGGAGGAGGAAACGTAAGAACGAATATGACAGAAGAGGAAACACTGATCATCTTCTTCTTCTCTCATGGGTATGCCCTCAAATCCTCAATTCTCTCTCTAGTGTGCTGAATCATCCTCTTCTTCTACCAGGATGAGAAGGGGAGGGTGATCCAGACGGCCCTGTTCGTCTCCGGGGTGAACACTCTGCTTCAGACCTTCTTTGGAACCCGCCTCCCGTCTGTGATGAGCAGCTCCTACGCCTTTGTTGTGCCAACAATCTCCATAATCTTAGCAGACAGATACAGCGAAATTGCGGATCCTCATGAGGTACATCAGACTACTGAATTGGATAAAATTTATTGAACCGTGGTGTTATATTAGTCACCATGATTGAATATTTTAATATGGTGTCAGGCTTGTTGTTTGATCTTGGGCTTGGATAGCCCGAAATTAGGAACAAACAAATAAATAAATAACTAAATTTTATGTGATTATATAGTTTGCAACATGCCATTTATAGTCAATTTGTCCATCTTCGGCTAGAGTAGTCCTAGAAAACATGAAGAAATTTTGCGAGAACATATTATATGAAACTGTGCCATTCTTTGTGAATTGCTTAATCCAGGGTTAGACAAAAATTAAATAAACTTTCACATGACTATATAGATGGAGTCTCTCTGCTCATTACCAGCTGGTCAATCTTAAGCTAGATCAGTCCCAAGTTAGAAATTTTGAGCAGATTTTTTGCATGATCATCTAGATGGAATGACGCCATTCGTTCTCTCTTAGTTGATCTTGGGGCTGAATTGTTTCAAACTAGAAAAATAAAAATAAAAATAAAAATTTATGCGATAAACGACATTGTCCATGGCCAATTGGTTGATCTTGGGTTTGAATGGGCCCAAACTAGAAAATAAATAAATAAATAAATAAATAAATTTCAATATCATATAAATGAAACCACGCCAACCATTGTCAATTGGTTGACCTTTGCCTTATTCTAGTCCCAAGCAAGAGAAAAGGGAAGAAGTTTACATTATCAGATACATGACAGAGTGCCATTAATTATCAGTCAGCTTTGAGTTCCATGATGGTCGGGATTCATCAAACCCAGTTCTACAGAATTCTTTTTTTCTTCTGTCAGAGATTCAAGCGCATAATCCGGGGGACGCAGGGCGCACTGATTGTGGCTTCCACTGTTCAGATCATCCTTGGCTTCAGTGGGCTTTGGCGTAAGGTCACAAGGTCCGGACTTGTCACTCTGATGAACACCCAAGTCTCTGTAATTCTTTGGGTTTCTCAGGTTTTCTCCTACATTTGCTTGATGTCGACCAGGTTCCTGAGCCCCCTTGCAGCTGTTCCCCTTGTTACCCTGGTGGGCATGGGGTTCTATGAGTTGGGATTTCCCGGGGTAAGCTTCAGCCGGAAAAATTGTCCTACCTGCCCTCCGAAAATCTTGATTATTGCAATTTTTTCCTGGTTTTGTAGTCAGTAATTCCCTGCTGTTGACTTCTGATTTCTTTGCTCATTTCCTAGGTTGGCAAATGCGTCGAAATTGGGCTCCCTCAGCTCATACTTCTCGTCGTTTTCTCCCAGGTACTGAGTTATGATTTTACCATTTTGTTCTCTGCAGGTTTAGGGTAGTAGCATGCGTGTGGTCAATGCTACGACCTTTTTGTCTCCGAGGGGGTTATTACAAACTGCTTGATTTTCCCCGGTTTTATTGCAATCGCAGTATCTACCCGTGTTTTTAGGATACTTCAGTTCATCTTCCGTATTTTAGGGTATCTTGCGAATTCATTGATTTTTCTGGGTTTTTTTCTTTTTTTGGAAATGCAGTATCTACCCCACGTGTTACCTGGGCAGGTCTTCAATCGGTTTGCTGTTCTGATCTCGGTCGCAATCGTGTGGCTGTATGCCTACTTGTTGACCGTCAGTGGGGCCTACAAGTATTCCCCTTTGAAGACTCAGTCACACTGCCGCACGGATCGATCAGGCCTCGTCGGCGGGGCTCCATGGTGAGGAGGCCAGCCTTCTCTCACAACTTCCATATGCTCACCTGTTTATTCTGTGGGTCCCACATCCACATAAAATCGGGCCCACTCCATCCAACTCCATGTTGACTTCTTGGGTCAGGTCGGGTGGGCCCATGTTGTTCTTAAAGATTTGCTCACTCATCAGCTGCTTTGGGAAGAGATTTGACTGTGCCCATGATGTTTCATGATGCCATCGGTGGGGTGGTGGCCGCCAATTATGCCTGATATTCTGCGCGTTGACTGGCTTCACAGGATTAGGTTTCCATATCCGTTTCAATGGGGAACGCCGACCTTCAATGCGGGAGAAGCTTTCGCCATGGTAGCCTCAGCCTTTGTGGCTCTGGTTGAGGTTCGACTCTTCTTCATCGCCCAGCTGTTGTTGTTCTATCTATTGCTATATTCGGGAGCAGCCTGACTGGGTCCCACTCCGCTCTTTATTGCCCGCAGTCAACTGGGACCTACATTGCCATCTCGAGGTATGCGAGCGCGACCCCATTGCCGCCGTCTGTTCTCAGCCGCGGGATCGGGTGGCAGGTTGGTGGGATATGCTGGCCGCTCTTCTCTCCACACTTGTTATTCATCATGGTTGGGGTGATCCCGATCTTGATACAAGAAGTTGACTTTCTACAGGGCGTTGCTGTCTTATTGGACGGGCTGTTTGGAACAGCAAATGGCTCCTCGGTTTCTGTGTAAGCTTCCACTTACAGCAAGGCCCCCCCCTCTCTCTCTCTCTCTCTAAAAATGTTGGGTTCTTTGGTAGTGAGAATGCAGGGTTGCTCGGCTTAACACATGTCGGGAGCAGGAGGGTTGTGCAGGTGTCTGCCGGATTCATGATCTTCTTCTCCATCCTCGGTGAGTTCTCCCTGCAGATCCAGAAGTGTGGGATGTAAAAGTTGTCTTTTTTATGGAAAGGGAAATATTTCTTGCTGACCTGGGTCCCCTTTTTGTCCGAATCAGGAAAGTTTGGGGCGGTGTTCGCATCAATTCCTGCGCCGATGGTCGCCGCTCTCTACTGCCTGCTCTTTGCCTACGCCGGTAAGTGAACAGAGAAATCATCAGAGATCACCCACCAATCAGATGAAGAGGGAGGGGTTCTTATGCGTCCGTTTCTCTGTTGAACAGGTGCGGCGGGCCTGGGCCTCCTTCAGTTCTGCAATCTGAACAGCTTCCGGACGAAGTTCATACTGGGCTTCTCCATCTTCCTGGGCCTGTCGGTCCCTCAGTACTTCAACGAGTACACGGCGGTGGCCGGCTACGGCCCGGTCCACACTCGCGCCAGATGGGTACGCAGAGATTTCCATATATGATATGATTCTCCATCTGGGTTTTCTTGGTTTTAGCTGAATTCAGATGCCCGCGTTGAATCTGGGTTGTGGGTTGCAGTTCAATGACATGGTCAACGTGGTGTTCTCCTCGGAGGCGGTGGTGGCGGCGCTGGTGGCCTTCCTCCTCGACAACACCCTGCAGGTGCATGATCCGGCGGTGAGGAGGGACCGGGGGCTGTACTGGTGGGACAAGTTCAGGACCTTCAAGGGGGATACCCGGACCGAGGAGTTCTACTCCCTGCCTTTTAAGCTCAACAAGTTCTTCCCCGCAGCATAACTGCAGAGATCAATCAATCAATCTCCTCAGTTCGTCCCCCATCTGGTGGGCTCATCTCTGTGCAGATAATTCTCGTAAAATCTAGCAGACTCGACTCTGTGATGTCATTTTCCGAGGAAGATCCAGTTCTTGGGAGAGGATGAAGGAAAACTGAATGGCTTCCGCGAGGAATTACGACGAGAAAGCAGAAGAGATCCGTCCGAATACATCTCTAGCAGGTTGTGTGTTGTCGAAGAAGTCGTTCACTCCGTCGTCCATGGCAGATCCGAGGAGCTTAATGACGGAAAACCCTAAAAGAGGGATCCCAAGGAAGAGGGCGATCCCGGCCAGTCCAACCATGGAAGAAGCAGCATGCATCGAGTGATGAGGAACCGACATCTGCGCAGACCTCCACGACATCGCCGAGATGATCGCTCGAGGCCTCTCTGCTATTGGAGATCCCCCTCTGGAGCTCCGTGTTTCCTGCGGACAGAAGAAGAAGAATAAGGCAGAAACCATGAGTCTCTCTCCAATCGACAACCAGATAAAACGAATCTCCCCCCCTTCACTCCGATCGATCTGGTTTCAGAGAAAGATCAATACCAATCATCATCTTCACAGTCGGATGAACTGTTCACGATTCTGATCCCACTTCGATCTCTCGATTCGAGCTCCGCTCCGACGATAAAACTCGATAAACTCTTCTAGCATCGATAAAAAAAACTCTAATCCTCCCTTCCGATCGGTCGATGCCGGCCGCCCGAACGCCGGCAAGATCCACGCCTGCTTTCACGCAGTCCGTTCAACCTGGGATGATTGCCCGGAATAATTTATCGTACAGGAGGTTGACCGAAATCTAAGAAGATCGTATCGTTGAAACTATATCTCCAGGCAACAAATTCTATTTTATTCCAATCTAACATAATAAAATAAAAGTCTGTACTCTCCCTGCCCCCCCCCCCTCTCTCTCTCTCTCTCTCTCTCTGTGTATCGCTGTATCTCCCTCTTTCTGTGGGTGGTTGTGTATATATATATAGTACAGTTGTGGTGCCGCCACAGTTGCAGTCACTTGGGCTTGTTCGGTCGCGGAAGAACAGTGGCGGCAGCAGGAGCAGGAGGTACAGCGGACGCTGCCCTCGCGGACGCCGCCTTCCCTGATCTTCTGCTTCTTCTTCTTCCTCCCCGTGACTGCCGACTGACCGATTTGGATCACCCGATCGCCTCGATTTGACCCCTCGGCCTCTCCGTGGTCGAGGATCGAATCCGAGGAGCGAGGGAGAGCGGGATACTTAAAACGATCGACCGGATCGATTAAAGCGGAGTTGGTAGTGGCGCTGCTGCGGGGGACGGGGATGGGAGCGAGGGGGAAGATGGCGGCGACCGGAGCAGCGGCGGCGGCAGAGGAGCTGATGGTGGCGGCAATGCTGGTGCTGGGGATGGCAATGGCGCCGTCGGCGGTGGTGTGCGGGGAAGATGGGGTGCGATGCCTCCGCGGGGTGAAGGATGCCCTGGGAGATTCGCAGGGCAGGCTGAGCTCTACCTGGCACTTTGGTAACAGCAGCGTCGCCTTCATCTGCTCCTTCGTCGGCGTCTCCTGTTGGAACTTCCAGGAGAACCGGGTGTTGGAGCTCAGGCTGCAGTCGATGGGGCTTGCCGGCGAGATCCCTTCGGCGCTGCAGTACTGCACCTCCACCACCACCCTCGACCTCTCAGGGAACGCCCTCTCGGGCCCCATCCCCCCGGGGCTCTGCAAGTGGTTGCCCTACCTCGTCCACCTCGATCTGTCCGGCAACGAGCTCTCCGGCGCGATTCCTCCCGACCTCGTCGACTGCAACTTCCTCAACACGCTCATCCTCTCCGGCAACCGCCTCTCCGGCTCCATCCCCTCCCAGTTCTCCCGCCTACCCCGCCTCAAGAGGTTCGCTGTTTCCAGGAACAGCCTCTCCGGCCCCATCCCCCAGGGTTTTGCGGCCTTCAATCCCGCTGACTTCGAGGGGAACTCGGGGCTCTGCGGCCGTCCGCTGGGCTCCAGGTGCGGCGGCGGTCTCAGCCGGAGGAGCCTCATCATCATCATCGCCGCCGGCGCCTTCGCCGCCGCATCTTCGGCCCTCCTGGCATTCGGGATCTGGCGCAGGTGGGTCGTCCATCCTGCCCAGAGAAGAAGGGGCGCCGCCAAGGAGGAACAGTGTTCGTGGGTGGAGCGGCTCAAGTACCACCGACTCGCGCAGGTCTCTCTCTTCCAGAAGCCCATCGTGAAGCTCAAGATCGCCGATCTGATGGCCGCGACCAACGAGTTCAACCCCGGGAACATCATCTCCGTCTCGGCCAGGGCCGGGACTTCCTACAGGGCCGTCCTCTGCGACGGCTCCGCCCTCTCCGTCAAGCGGCTGCACGCCTGCACGCTCTCTGAGAAGCAGTTCCGCAGCGAGATTGGCCATCTCGGGCAGCTCCGACACCCCAACCTCGTCCCCCTTCTGGGTTACTGCGTCGTGGAGAATGAGCGGCTCCTGGTTTACAAGCACATACCGAACGGGTCTCTGTTCACTCGGCTACACTCTGTGACTGCGCCGCTGGACTGGCCTGCGAGGCTCAAGATCGGGATAGGCGCTGCAAGAGGGTTGGCCTGGCTGCACCACGGCATCCACCCGCCATTGATCCACCAGAGCTTGAGCACCAGGGTCATTCTTCTCAACGAGGACAACGAGCCCCGGATCACAGACTTCGGGCTGGCGGCGCTCGCCGGCAGGGCCGGAGACAGCGCGAGCACCAGTCCCTTCGTCAATGGGGACCTTAGTGACATCGGGTATCTAGCACCGGAGTACTCGACCATCACGGTGCCGTCTCTGAAAGGGGACGTCTATGGGTTTGGCGTGATTCTGCTGGAGCTGGTGACCGGGCAGAAACCCCTCGAGGTGGTGGGCAATGCAGGTGAAATTTTCAAGGGGAATGTGGTGGACTGGGTTAATCAGTTCTCCATTGCTGGCCAGATGAGTGACGCCGTTGATCAATCCATCCGAGGAACGGGGGACGACGGTGAGATCTTGCAGGTCCTGAAGATTGCTCGCAGGTGTGTGGCGTCCAGGCCAAAGGAGAGGATCCCTATGCACCAGGTTTACCAGTCCCTGAAAGTCATCGGAGAGACCCACGAATTTTCTGAGCAGTTCGACGACTTTCCACTGATTTACGGGAAAGATGATCCAGAAGCTCAGTAGAAGCTCAACAAAACCCTGTTGCACTTTCGTCTCAGAGAGCAATGTTGCAGATGGCGAGCCTGCTCTGATTAAAACAAGGAGGTACACTATGACATCACGACACCCCTCTCTCTTTTCACTGGTGAAGTCCATATTTGCCTGACACATTTGTACTTCACTACTACTGTGTGATCAAAGGCCTGGAACAGTAGACGTATCCTTATAAAAGGTAGATGGTAAATGGCTGTAACCCCTGCTCCTCCTTAAAAGCCTTTACGGTGGCAATTTCTTTGCATTTCTCACGTATAGCCATGATCTTTGAAGGCGGCTCTCTCTCTCTCTCTCCTGGGTCAAATGAATGATCCCTACCCTCCCTTTGTATTTGTACTTAGCCCTCGTATGTCGTCAAGAGTAAGTTTCCACCCATGAGCCGCTTTTATTCTATATTTTCTTCTATGATCCGATCCACCTTTCTCATGTCACATGATCCCCCCGCCCCCCTCTTCTATAGCGCCATCTATTCTGCTACACTACACTGATTCCCAAACAATCTGCTTTGTCCTGCCATCAGGGTGGTGTAATGAATCAACCCACCCATGAGCGGTACTTGGTCTTTTCTTCACTCTGTTTTTCTCCTACTGGTGACTGTGTTCTGTATGAATGACATCTTTAGGAACAGGCCCACTGGTCCATTTATATACATACACCCTGCCTCGGTCTCTGATGCTGAACAAGATCAAGAGGCGATCATCAGAACTTGTGTCGATTACGAGGTGCTCATTATTTCCCCATTTGAGCAGAAGCTGCTGCCCATGCTCATTCTAACCTGTGCAGAGAGTGTTTTCCAAGTGAATGGGCGGATGCTCGTTCTGAGTGCCGCTAGCGTGGGCAGGCCTCGTGGGTTTCTGTAAATAGAGAGAACAAGGACGGACCGCCTATTGCCCCGATCCTCTTGCCTCTGAACTCTGATTTTTTGAAAAAAATCCAAGGAACAGGATTGTCTTGAAACTTGGAAGCAAAGCAACTGCTTTTGTTCGGTTCCTAAAAGTAGAGAGAATACATACATGCATACATACAAGGCCAATATTTATTAATTGTCAATCTGCCAACTGCGTCAGAGCTGGAGAATGCTGTCCGTCAGTTCATATTCCGGTCCTTGTACTATGAGAGAGTGTGTGTGTGTGTGTGTGTGTGTGTGTGTGAGAGAGAGAGAGAGAGAGAGAGAGAGAGAGAGAGAGAGACGTCTCTCTCTTCAACCCCCATGTTTCTAATTACGCGATTTTCTCCCCCATTTCCTATCCCACTCAGTCTATAAGGTTGTGAAAAATATGAAGTAGAAGACATCATCCCTCGTTCATTCTACAGCTTATTATTTGAATCCTTTTGAGAGCAAAGTTTCCACCCCCGCTGATACTTGTACCCTTTTGACGAATAGAAGCCGATTTTACCCGGGGAAGATGAAGATGAAATGAAGTTCTCAGGGTTTGAATAGTCTCTCATGGGATGATCGGTGAAGTCATCAGATGGATGTAAAACATCAAGCAAAACATACAAGCCAGGGGAGTTGGGGGGGTTATGTTCTAGAGTTGCAATCATCGTTCCTCATCATGGGAACTTCAATAATAGTAATAATCATAATGATACTAATAATAATAATAATGGGATTTTGTATTGAAATCTGGGCTGATGGGCCACTAAGGGCACTCGTCCCTAGGCACAGCTCCCGTTTCTCTCTCTAGCAATCCTCAAATGCTAATTTTCTTAAGTTCTTGATATAGTCCTCCAATGCCACAATTTAGTTCTATTTAACGGAGTATTGGGAAACTCGCTCGTTAAATGCCTGTCATCCTACCTTTCGACCAACTACTTGCGAGAGAGAGAGAGAGAGAGAGAGAGAGAGTATTGGTAAAACCCCTTTTTCTCAATGTTAAAAAATCTAAGCTTTGCCAGGCCCAGCCCGCTTAGGCCGATGGCACCCTCATTATATCTATTTTCTGCCAATTACTAATTTCAATAATGTCAAACCTAAAAGCAATACATGACAGAGGAGCCTACAAGTAGACTGTCTGGTCTGGGCAATCTTTGTGATTCAATCTCTCTCTCTCACACACACTCTCTCTCTCACTAAATCACGCATACAACAAGTAGACTGTCTAGTCTGGGCATAAACTACAGGACGCCCAAAACGCATTCTATAAGCTTCTCTTGTGCCATTTAAATCTTGATTTTCCTATCAGGCATTTGTAATTTTGGTTGTTCACAACAAAACATGGAGAAAAAAAAGGGGCTCTCACAGGTCACGGACTGAAGCCACAGCGCCAACAAATCAAGCTCAGTTTTTCTTAACCAGAAAGGGATTGTTACGTCAGAATTGATAAATGAAACCCATTTCTGAACAGCTCAGAGGAGATGGTTTTTATTTGGTGATCATAGAAGCCATTATGCGCAGAAAAAAAATAAAAATAAAAATCAGAACCATCTTTTCTCAGACAAGAAGACACCCCGAGTTGATGATCATAGAGGCCAATATTTGCATACCAAAACTGATAAATAAAACAAATCTTTATGAGACAAGAAGACATCAAGTATATAAAACTAATTAATAAACCAAAAGCACGGTTTTTTTACCGCCAAGAAGACATGGCTAGCTTGAGATCATAGAAGCCGCCATATACACATGCAGAAGAAAAGAAAAAAAAGAAAAAAAAAAGGCAGAGTATCCATCTGGTGAAGGTGCTGAATGGAAGAGAGTACCAAGAAACCTCAGATTGTTTCAAGTAGACAAAAAAGTTGGACTGGGGACCATTTTCATTTAATGAAATAAAGAGAGGGAACAAATTGGAACAAGATCATATGTCGAGGGAAAAAAAAGGGAAGGAAATCATGTGATTGGGATGAGATTTCTGAGTGATCAGCGGGGTGTGCTATGTACCACCATGGTTGACTTAACCAGTGGCATAAAGAGATGGAACTGACGGTCTAAGAAGTCACATCCTCATCGTTGGCTCTAAGTTCATCTCTATCGATGAAACGACTGAGCATTTGCTCTTCTGACACAATGATGCACTTTTCTTCCTTCCCAAACCAACCGTACCGCCTCTTTGCGACATAATCGTAAATCAGATCCCTTAGTGGGGACGGGATCACGAGGAGCATGCTCAGAGCTGAATAAGGGAATGGTAAGTAGGATAGAACTCTCAATGCAGCTGCAAGACATCACAGAAAAAGATATGGATGTCAGGTTGAGACCGTGAATGCTCAAAGGGATACAGAATTCGGAACTCTTATCAAGTGTAGCGAGAAACTATAAGAAAGCAGGGAAATATAATGTAAAACGGGATGTTATATATAGCTTGAAGGCTGGTAAATTTTCTAAATTACATGGACTTTTGGTTGATGACAAAGGTTCCTAGGCAGCAGCAGAACCGCAGATGTGTAATCAGATGATTTCAAATATTCACCTGCAAACCCTTAAAGGCTCCGTAACAAATCTTTTCTATTAGTTTTTTTGAAAAAATACATGTTCAACCCTCACTGTAAAAAAACTGCAAGGAAAACCATAACAGGAATAAAAAAAAACATTTTTTAACCGACTAAACAGAACGTCCTCTTCTTTTTCTCAGTAAGTAAAACACTTTCTCGCCAACTTTCAGATAGTAGTCGAAATGCCGCTAATAAAAATATAGTACGAAAGAAGAATCCTCTAAATGAATGAGTCTACAATGACCCGAGTATTACTCTTGCGCCAACTTGCAATAATAAATGAATTTTATCATCATATTCTGCAACGACAGACAGCTTCACTCATTCCACATTCACAGCAGAGAGCACAGATAAGAAAACCATAAGCTTTCTGTGAGAAAGTCTATTATAATAGATCCGTTGTTATGCTAGTATGTCCCTGGGGCCACTAGGCCCATATTAAGCCTTATGTGAACTGCCGCCTCTCTCCTCTCTGTATGTAAATAGGAGAGAAGGCTGGCCATGTTTACAACCCTAGATATGTATCACTCTATTTTCTAGCATAAAGTGCATTTAAGTGCAAGCCCCTAACAGAGAGGTCACGGAAGTTGATTAGAGAGATGAGACTAAACCTTTAGAAGACATTAAAATAGTATGATTATTCACTCTAGGAGTATGTGGAGGACCATCTACAAATTATTCTAATCGAAGTAAGTAGGGGGACACAAACCCATTAGAGAGCAGTCAACTGGTCCTGTATGACCTCTCTTTTGGTCAATTCGGGAAGAGCAAAAAAGAAACAAAATTTACAAATAATTTCCTAACCTATCTCTCAAATAATGAAACCTTGATAACGACTGGGAGACCAAAGATGACGAAACACTGAACCAAGAATAAGAAGGTATGACAAAGATATACTACTCTACAGAGCACGAGTCTGAGCAAGTACAATACTCAAACAAGAAAAAAAGGTATCCTGAATGAGCCGATACATTGTCTTCCTTGGTACCCAATCCATATTGAAGGCAAAAGATAAAAAAAACATTCTACTATCGCAGAAACATAGAGAAAATCCGATATAGAATTCATGGAGGAAGGAAAAGACCATAATATAGCACAGATTCGACAAAGGAAAGCAGAACATTACATGTAATTCATGAAAATACAGATAATGCGTCTGAGGTAACCTGTGGAAGCTTGATGATAAGAATAAAGTCCTTCAACGAACAAAAATCGTTTTAGGACATCTTCTCGATCAAGACCGCACAACTTTAAGTAGGGCTCAGCAGCCTTTGACTGGAGACAACAGAATTTTACCTTCTGATGTTTATCAGCCCTGATGACCCAGTTCACACCTCCAGAAGAAAAAACTTAGATGTATTAGGAATACTGGGCAAGAAATAAACCTCCTGTGTTTGAAAAAGCAGTATGGTAAAGAAAAAGTATAAATGTGGGTTATGTTAGCTGTTGCTATATAACTGAAAACCTCCTGTTAGCCTTTTGAGAAAATCTATCTAAAATTTAAGAAAACTGAAAGAAAAGCATATAACTGTAATTAATGGGGAAATAACCTCCATAAGTCATCCAAAATTCGGAAACAGAATGACATGGAGCGAGGAGAAAAAAGAAAATATTTAAAGGATTAGAAATGTAAATCTTATCTTCACAATGACACTAGCAATGCATTCAAACGAGGGTGCCCCATATATGAGTGTGGAATGGCCACACCACACACACTCATACGTGCACATATGTTATGAACCATTGTGACACACTACACAATAAGCCAAGATACAAATGAGGTAGATTATTATTAAAGAGGAAAAAAGATAAATCTACAATATTCCAACCAATACCTCGAAGCAAATAGTGGCTGGCAAGTTAAGTGGTCCGAAATCTGCTTTGAGTAGATATATATGGAAGAGTGAGTATCAGAGAGGATATCCATCGTCAGTCTGATTTGTTTATTCCTGGTAGGACAATATTGACTAGAATTCGGAAAGAACCTGGTCGACATCCTGTAGCAGTGTATAGGCTGGGGAACTGATGCCAATATCAGATGCTACTGAATTCAGACAATGTCAACACAATCATTAGTCTCAGACTGAAACTCAGCCTGTGCAGGATAAAAATGCCAGTACATGTTTTCGTCCTACAAAAATTAAAAGAAGTGACCAAGAAAAATTAGGTGAATGACAAATAGTGGAATCTCCAATCTAACCCACATCAGAGAAGCATACAACTTGAGTGCCAGATTTCTAAAGAGATGGATGGAGGCATGGACATTAGGGGAAGCACTAAAGAATTGCATTATGAGTAACTGTGGAAGGAAAAACAAATCACTCACAAGATGTACTGCACAAAGAACGTCAGGGATGAGAATCTGAGAGATTACAGCCCTCACTAGTCATCCACAATGAGCTGCATCTCAAACAGGATGACCAAGAGCAGGATGAAGCTTTATGTGAAACTATGTTGGCATCTCAAAAGCGTGAGGGTTAAGAGAATGACACAAGAGGAAAATAGGAATACGACAGAATTGATATTCATGAGAAGACCAAAGAAACTTGAGGTCTCAAAGGTATCAACGAGATTCAAGGTTCATCATTGTATATTGATGAAACACTACATGAATAGAACGTAGTTGTATTGGCATCATTGGAATTGAAGAACATTGCATCCATGCACGGCATGGATGACGTAACCACTAGAAGCCGAGCAAAAAAATGCAATCATGGGTCATAAGGGAGGGTGGAATATTCTGTTCAGTCACTCTTTTCTATTGTATGGTATGGCTCAGATTTAAAAATAGACATCAACACTGAGACAGACATCAAAAACTGTATGAATGACATCTAGTGAGCATGGATGCTGATGTCAGCTGAGATATGCCAAGTTCGCCCCCACAAGGATGGCAAAGCAATAACCTGCTGAGAGGACTATGGTGGCATGAATACTACATGAGGCTCTTGTAGGCAAGTGTCTTAGCTGGTTACACAATAGGCAACAGTAGACACAACCTGATCCATTCCATCACTATAGTATACGATCTGAACAAGATCGATGAAGAATTAAAAAGGTTGGCCAAGATGAACTCAAAATTGGCAGAGGTATCCAAAAGCAACTAAAGGGTATCCCCTGGTGGTCATTCAGTGAGGAACCTAAGTCTGCGGCTGTGGTGTTCCAAAAGAACACACTTCACATAACAGAAGTTTTGAGCAGAACATATTTTTTAGACCTAATGACGTCAGCAGAAAAGGAAAAAATACATAAATAGCTCTAGATGACATCTACTTCAGTTTCTTGACAATGGAAACCCTTCCAGTACAGCTTCCAGGGTTCCTTCAGGCGGCCACTTTGAATAAGCAACTCTGAACAAGAATATTTCTGACAAATAGGAATGAAAAAAATAAAAGGCCTAACCATTAAGTGTAAAAATGCTGAAGAAAAAGGAAAATGAATCACTCTAAACCAAAAATTCTCAGGATTCCTGGAGTTACATAGCCAGTTTCAAAATGTTTCTCTGGAGATTGAGGCATTGAATCATTATGGAACTCCTTGTGGATTCGTTATTTCTTGACTCAATGAAAAAGGACAAGTTTAGAGCTTCTTATCCATTACCTTATTTTTACGTTTGCTCATGAAAGTTTCACTGGCAGGTTTGTTTACTCGTCTTTATACATGAATGAAATCTGGCTAAATCCATGGCATAAAACGGGCTGACAAGAAAAAGCAGGAACTTTGAAATAAAAAGACTCAAAAAACTTATCTCAATGTTTGCTATTCTTGCCAAGAAAATTAATATGACATACAGAACCTCTGTGAATAAAACTCAAGTTGAGACTCACATGATGGTGATATAAAGCCATCCTTGAATCACAAAGGAAAACATCATCTTAAAAAACCAATGTATTAATGATGTAAATTCGAAAAAGATAACATAATGTCACTAGCCATCTGCATAATCAAACGCATAGGTCTTGGGATGATGTGAAGCATCCTCTTTGAGCCTAAAAAATACGAGTTTTTTATAGCAATGCCTTTAGCCTAGAGAATTATTTAATTTTCATGGTCTGATCAGTATGTCATAAATTCCTTAACGATCATTAACGATTTGCTAATTGAACTAGGAAAGACAAGACTGGCATTTCAGTAACACCATCATCTATGTATAATATCTCTCAATAGAAGTGAACAAAGCAGCTGAACCGGCGATCCAAATGAAAGCGAAACAGGAGTGCCACGTCAGTGTTATACTCTCATGCTGAACCCTGGAGAATGGTCAATTTATGTATCAAGACCTCAAAAAATCAAAGGAACTAAGAGTCCAAATAATCAATTAAAAAATGGATCTTGCTACACATCCTCATGCCCAATCACCAGGGTAGACTCGACTAGGTAATCATTTTGAGACTTTTTGTATAAATATATATTTTTGCAAGAGTATGGAATTGACTAAAAACGATCAATTTTGAGAAAAATCGACTTCTACAAAATCCGTTTGGAGAGTACCGGCTGTAGATCATGAAAACCAGCGGTCCAAGTATATTTTTAGTTTTTCTCGGAAAACCAGCGTTTGGAGAGTTATGCTTATGTCAATTATTGATTATTTGATTAAAGAAACGTAATGACCATTTTTCTTCAGTTGTGAAAAAACAACACCTGTATTGATTGAAATCCATGCCCCAATTTGAAACTCATCCTGGCAATGATTTTCTTTCTCGGAACAGATCAATCGACATTAATGCGCTCCGGAGACCACAAAAATCCTGGGGAGTGAAACGATGGAGGGCGGCGATACTTGTAAGCACGAGAAATACCTGCATGGCAAAGGTGACAGACACCATCGTAGACTACAACTCGCGACTGGAGGAGAGTCGGATCGGCCTGCTGCGGCAGAGAGGTAGCGCCCGAGAAGGTGAGCCCATCCTCCACAACCGCGTCACCGGGAGAAGCAGAAGCGGGCACGACGATGGCACCCGTTCCATCCGCAGGAGGCGATGAACGTGAGGAAGAATGTAACGAGCGTGGACGTGGGAAGCCACCGCGCAATCGAGCCGCCGCCGCCTCGGTCGACAGAGCTGCTGCGGCGGGTGGCTTACTGAAGCTGCGACCACTGCGGACGAGAGCCTGAGTAGCCTTACGCAACATATTAGAGCGAGAGCGAGAGAGAGAGAGAGAGAGAGAGAGAGAGAGAGAATATGAGAGCTCTGCTTCTCCAGCAGGACCGTCGCTTCTCTCTCTCTCTCCCCCCTAAGGTCTTCCTAAGGTGCTAGCTTAGATCACGGCTATTACGGACTTTTGAGCCAGACCCAGATACAAAGGATTGCCGGGTAGGTTAGGTTAGGCTCGGCCTTTTTGTGGGCCATCCCACGTGAGGACATATTTTGCAGGGTCCAAGTCTGCCCCAAGCCCAATACAAGCCCAGAAATAGGTTTTGGCTCTCCTTGTGCACGTGTTCGGGGGACGTGGTGCCAAAAGATAGACACATGGCGACAAAATAAACGGGCACGTGGAAGCCATAGGGACTCGCGCCCAATCCAGGATGGGCCCCACAAAAAATCCAAGCCCGGACAAAAAGCCCCAAAAATGGGCTCGAGACACTATTGTTCACCGTAATAATCCGCCCCAATTAAACAACGAATTGTAATATGATGACGGCATTAATCAGATCATCTGTGGGTGGATCCAATCTCCAGAAGAAAGCGCTTCACCAAGATCATGCTGCCAAGAAATGTGTGCCTCAGGGTGTGCCAAGATGTTGTACAGCAGAACAAAATGCCTTGTGATCGAATTCTCTTATTTTGTTGGCGGCCATCGCCTTTACAAAAATGGAAACAAAGCTTCATCCACCACCACACCACCTGAAGAAGATAGCTACCTCTCTTTCCAAGAAATGTACACCGACCAGAATGGCCCCTCCGAGCTGCATCGCCAAGTCTATGAACAGATGCATTCAAGAATTGGGGGGAAGGGGAGGGGGGTTGTTCGATCTCCCATCCTGTTGAAGAAGGTATTGACCATCTGGGGCTGACTGCTGGAAAGAGTTGACCATCTTGGTCTCATCTCAGTTGCGCACTGTCCACTCAGTCGCATTTCATTTGCCAGTGGACGCAAACTTTGACCAATCGCGCTTCCTATTGGAGAAAGTTTCCTTGGGAGAGGATGTTCTCCCGCCGACGCCGCCCGCCTGGCGCATCATCTCTGCAGTCGGGGGACGCCAGAACATGTTATTATGAGCTGCAATCACGTAAAGTCAAAGGCTTGATTGATGTGATGTGCTCATCATGCATGCAACCCACCTCGCTGATCGGCGAGTTCTTGATCCAGCTCTTCCTTCCACTTCCGCCGCCTCTCCGAAAAGTTGTCGCTGTTCTCGACATTTTCAGCAATAGGATTACAAGAGGCACCATGAAGTCAATAAGCCGATTTGGTATGGCAAAAAATGACACAAAAGGCATGAATTGGAGAAAAAATGCTGATTAACGATGATGCAGCTATATATTCGGGTTGACTGACCTCAAACCATTTGGCTTCTGCTCGGCATCTTCGAGAACCCCATCCCACTGGTTGAGGCAGGGCGAGGGAACTTCTTTCAAGATCCTGCTCTTATCCCCACCAGGAGCAGCCGAGAGACAATTCCCCGGGCTTCCACTGTTCACGGCGTCGATCTGTGCCGCAGATGACGCATTACTCCCTCTTCTGCTTGGCGATGACCGGATTTTGGGGGGCAGTTTCGAATTACTCGAGTATTTTTCCTGTGCTACATGCCCCGACATATTTTTCGAATTAGAGGCATTCATGGTGTTGTGGAACTCCTCGTAGAGGGGCGTCTGCAGCTTCTTCAGTTCCAGCGCCTGAGGGAGGGAGAGAGAGAGAGAGCGAGAGAGAGAGAGAGGAGAAACATGTGATATGAGGAGCTCTGAGGATAACCAAACTTGTAATAAACAACTACCCCAGAGCTTGGGAAATGAAGATTAATTTAATTTCATGGGGCTACCACCTTCTCATCGAGAAAGGCCCGAATCTTTGTCTCTGTGACTTCATCGTCATCCTCGCACGCTGCTCCACAAGGGAACGTGAAGCCTCCTCCACCATCTGACTCCCCCCCCCTTCTTTCCTCTGGGGTTTTATCGAATTTGCACGGCCATTCATCGTCAAAAGGTTCGCACATCGGGTTAAAACTCTACAAAAATGGTAAATTTTTGAGCTAGAATTGCTTCGTTGTGAGAATTTTCCAGAAATAGTAAGATTAGACAGGATCTCTCACTTGTTGTCCAACGGCGACAGACGCAGTGTTGTCATCAAGCTGGCACATGTTGTCGCTGCTGCTCGTTTCCCAAATTGGGCGGACACTGATAAGCTTCCCCTCGTATGGCGAGCAGCTTCCATCGCCGAAGTCTTCTTCCATGCTATTCAAAACATCGCAACTATCCGTTGGACTGATGATGCTGGAGGAGTTACCAGGAGATCGATCACCCAAGTTATGACTTACAAAGGACAGGGCAAGAAATGATATCGATATCAGAAGAAACTTACAAGTCTTTTCGGTTACACCGAGACCTCCCAAGTGCGCTTGGAGAAGGCTTCTGCTGGTGAAGTCAACGTCAGCAAAGCACGGTGGGGAAGAAAAATAATTGCTAGAGAACAAGAGGAATAGGCTGACCGTGACAGAGGAGCAACCCGTTGGATGGCTGTCTCCAGTGACGAATGGATGCTGAGAAAGATAAATTGATGTTACCAGGAGAAATAAAATGTATCGACAGAACCAATGTTCAAGTTTCAATGGTGTCAAAAAAATGTGAAAAGAATATAGTTTACCCGCAATAAATCAGAAGCGGTTGCCCTCAAGTTTGGTTCCCTGTTAACAGTACAAGCTTAGATATGAAAGCAAAGATGGCGAATATATGTCAAGGAAAAGGAAAATAAACCTCAGACATTATTAGAAATAATGTCCGATGGGGACAGTTACATGGTTCTCATTAATTTGAAGGTAACAGAAGAAGGTCCAGGATTTATTAACACTTTTTTAAGCACCCAGAGAATTTTAGAACCATAAATGTTTTAGATAAGAGAGCCCGAACAGGAAAGGAATAGTGGCTTTAAGGCACTGAAGGAGCATGCTACAAGTCAATGCAAAGGGCGTCTGTGGCTCGGAAAGAAACTATGCCCAAAATATAATGGAGTGAAGGCAAATACTTCTGTAGACATTTGAGAAGAAAATCCTTCGCCTCTGGTGATAAATGCTCTGGAATGGGTGGATGTGACTTTGTCGTACCAATATGGTATAGAACTGCAACCTGGGAAAAATGAAAAGACATCAATGAACAAATTGATGCTGAGACCATTCATTGATAACAATTAGACATACGTGAGGTGAATGAGAAAAATGATTCAACATATTAAATGAAATATGGACAAATTCAAGCATCCAATAAAAAGAAGAAATAATATTATAATATTACCTCTTGATATTGCTGGCTCCATGGAGGTTTACCAGTGGCCATCTCAATAACCGTACAGCCAACACTCCATATGTCAGCAGAGCTATGAAATCAGTAATTTCCATTTGTTAGAAATAATTTTGGTCAACATGGAATAAACTTGTAGGATAAAAAAGAATAAATATACCGATTAGCATTATGGTAACTATAACTAGAACGAATTATATGGCAAATCCTTAAGGCTAGGCACCCATCAATACCTTCTATATGCAAACAAAGTTAAAACAGATGATTTCTACATTTCCAATGTTTCATCTGAAACAAAACTGAGGCACCCGAATTTCAAAGCATACAGTAAAAAACAGACATGTTCAATTTCCCCCCATAGGAAGACATGCCCTAATTCCTAGATTTATTGATTTCCCCTCCAACAATTAAAATAACCTTAAGCATTTCCGTGTAGAAGGATACCAAGACTAAACAAGAACTAAGAGTTTCTTTGCACCTGCAAACTGATCTGACTTCAAGTAGGGCAGTTAATTAACTTTGAGAAAATTTGGCTCAACCATTCTACAAGACAAGGTCCATGATCTATATCTCACATACAGCGTTAAAGAAAGATAGAGAAAGAAAGAAAGAATAAGCTTCCAGTTTAGAGGTCCAACTATGATGATCACGGAGGACATACATATATGGCAATGTGAAGCAATCTGGACAAACTGTTTTGTCATGGCTTATGAGCGGCCAGAACCATAATGCTAGGGCACAAAAAACATGGTTCGCATCACATTTTTCAAAAATACAAAACTAATAAAGGCTACAGGTCAAAACCAAAAGATGTCATTCAGATAGCAGCGGAAGATCAAAAGAATCTCCTCTGCAAGTGATGCATGAGGGCTAGAGTAAAACTAATAAACCTATGTTTCATAAGAAAGAGCCAAAAGGAATGATACACAATATGACAATACTGTCAAATAATCCATACATATCTCTGTATGTAATGCATATCACCACAGAAGTAACTTCACTGGAAGCTCGGACATACCATCACTGATATAACCAGACCGTGTCCATAGAGAGTTTATATTGAAATCATAATCATGTGTTCTCTCACACAATGTCCTCATTGTGGCTTTATAATCCTCAAGTTGAGTCAACTTTTATCCTTTTCTTGCTAATCCAAATCTGTGATTATTTAGTTTTACCCTTTGGCATGCATGGTATCGAAAACCACCTTGGACTTGACAAATTATTGGTCAGAAGATCTAATGATTCTAGCAGTAGCTATGGTGTTCACATTAACTCAAAAACAGCATTTTTATAATCATCCTAATAGCAGCCCAAATCCACCCTGTAACTCATTTATTAATGATGTTTTGGCCTAATACACAAATCTTTAACAGTCCTTTTTCTTTCTACCAGTCTTGATGCCAGTTTCCCTTAGTTCCTGACAAAATATTGGGAGAAAGTTGTTCTCATTCAAAAACTGACATGTCAAGAAGTTTAGATTGCCCTATCATCTTGCATGTATCTATCTGTTTTATGTTTTAGTATTGCACGCATGATAAATTATGTACACTAACACATGATAATTTTCTCCTTATGGTCGTATAGTCAACAAATAGAGTGCCAAAACGTTTAATGAGAACTAACTCTAGGAGGATTTGTCATAATGTAGAAAAAATCAGTTATACACGCTGGCATAGTGAACATAAGACAAAATTCTGAAAATTTTTATTTTACTGCTACCAGTTTCTAATCTTTATTTACATTCATCATGTGACTTTCCGCCATAAATGGTTGTTCATGTTTAATAGGCACCACTAATAGATAGGTTATTGGAAATCCAGTAATTTAATCAAAATCAGTTTTATAAGTCGTCTAAAAAGCCGTCACTAATATTTTTTATATAATTGATAATTTAATGTCAAAAAAAGTTCATTCATTGAATCCACATCCACCTACAAACTGAAATGCCGGATAGATATAACATTTTTTTCCAAAAGATGAGTTATATAAAATCTCGTGCTTCTATTTTTAACTGATCTTATAAAATTGATAGGATATCTATTACATCAATCAAGTTATGCAAATCACAAATTACTTTCTATTTTTGAAACAAATCCACTGCTACCTCTATTTACCATCCTATTAATAATAACAGGTGAGACTACAGGAGTAGAACCATTGCCATATGCACAATCGTCAGTATACTGAAGGGCCCAATATAGAAAAAATATTCCCCAAATAAAAGGTTTTATCATAAAAAATGACATTTCATGTTTAGACTTTATCCTCGTCCACTTTTTGTGATTTTTGACCTCGTAACACAATAACCCAATATTAATATTTCATCTTCATCCACAATCATTCAAACCTCAACGACCCAATCACCAGCCATCAAAGAAAACACAGACCTCTCTATCCAGTCAAGCCTCTTCAAAAAAAGAAAACAAGCTGTACAACATATGCTTTAGAAAAAACGATGCTTCAATGAATTAGTAATATTCTAATATCCAGCGGTGCAGGAGAAGAATACAACACACCAACAGCCCAGGTATTAATTTCAAGAGTTACATTGTTCAAGTTAAAGCAACTACTTGGGTTGTCCTGATCAAAAGAAGTTTATACCTTCAAAATAGTGTAAAGTTTGGTTCCAATATGTATTTCTACTTTCTGTCTCAAAATATATATTATAATTTTAAGGTTCTATAGAGTTTGAGTGCTATTCGGTGCTCTAACATCTAAATTGATCCCTATCACTCGTTTGACTAAAAAGCTATGTAATTGAAGCTGATTTGGTAGTGAGACCGTCTAATTTGATGTCAGGCAAGTATGTCCTGCAATGATGGATGAGTTCGCTCATAAATTGTACCAATTTCATGTTGCTTCATGAAATAGCATGTATTCGAAACTTTTTCCTTTTTTTCACTTGCTGCCTAAATTGATGATTATCACATCTAAACTGCAAGTCTTTCTACGAGAAAAACAGAAAATAAGTTCATCATAATGTTTATTAAGTGAGGCAAAAAGACTGTGATTCGGTGCTTACAAACTGTGCCCTGTCTGCACAATGACCTCTGGAGCCATCCAATATGGAGTACCTTTCATTGATTTGGCAGCATTAAGGGTAGCCTGAAAAGTAATAAATCGTGAATTAAATCGATTTTTTTTAATTTTATCATCAAGCAATTCCACAGCTATTTCTTTCTAAGATCATATGCCCAGAAAATGAGAGGATAACAGTAGTATAACTATGAAAATTTACCATAGATAAAAACCACATAAAATAAAAGAAACAGTAGAATTCATCGTTATGTAACTTCTGAAGATGATTTAATCATACAATGATACGATTGGATTTTTCTTGAAATATTCTCATTATGGGAGACAATTGTACGCATGAAAAGTTAACACAATCCACAATGGCTTCCCCGTCCATTCCCTCCCAAAATGATAGATGAAATAATTGATTGAGAACAGGCATGAAAGTTGATAATCTGGTGGATTTATCACATTCCCACTACAAAGGAGCAGAATGAAATAAAGAGCGTTGTATATTTGTACCAGTTTGGCCACTTGCTTGGATGCGCCAAAGTCAACAAGCTTGATACAACCTTTATTATCCACAAGAATATTTGCTCCCTGAAAATCCATGGCTTTTGTCAGGCAAGAGAAACTACGGGGTGAGGTATAGTAATCAATAAAGAGGCCAAAAGAGTGAGACCTTTATGTCTCTATGTATGATCCCATTCTGATGAAGATACTCAAGTCCTTGCAGAAGCTGCTTTGTATACATTCTTATAACCTGTTATTTATGCCCTTTGGGATTAAGTTCAATTCAATGTCATCATAAAATTAAAAAATTATTGTACAAAGACAGAA